ATGTTATGTTATGTTATGCTATGCTATGTTATGCTATGTATGTTATGTTATATTATGTTATGACTCCTGCAAATATCTTCTCTCATATTCCATGTTGTCTGCAAATACCCAGGGTAATCTCCCAGCACTCACTTAGCAAGGCCTTAGAGCTCAGTTCAAGGAACTCCAGCTGAAGAAAGAGAGGGGTAAGAGGATTCAGAGATCAAAGGATATTAATTAATATCATTCAGAGAAAAAAAGACTAAGATTGAAACTATCTTCAGATAACCTAAGAAGTGCCTACAAAGAGTGAGGAAATGTTTTCCCTGACCATTGTGGGCAAACATTGATTACAAAACACTTCTGGTGGAGAAGGTAATTCCTCTGAGGCAGATTGCTCGTGAGTTCAGAGGATTTGAATAACAGATTAAAAACACTTTGTCCAGGAATGTTTTGGTCCAAGCTGATCCTTCCAAGACTTGTGCTGCAAGGAAGATGCATATAATATCCGGATTTTCACCTGTAGGGCTCTGCACATGGGAGGTAGTAGTTCCTCCCATGGATACCAGAGCAGACAAGATTCAGTGAGAGAAAGTCACTTCCACTTATACTTGGATAAAATGTTTAAGAAAAGCAGACTGAGAGGACTTCTTGTCTGATCTGAAGTACTGGCTGCAGGAGTATGAGTTCAGTGAGACTTAAGGTTTCTGTTAGGAGGTGGATGATAGAGTAGGAGTGGGCAGCCCCCAAGGCCATTTGGCTGTGGCAAAGGGCAGGACCAGCCTACCTACCTGCTCCCTGATACCAAATGGTTGTTCCCAGGTAGGACAGGTGTGTGAATCAGGAATCCCAAAGCACCCTGGAGACACCTTAGTTCTTGATTTGATTTGGCAGCTTTTAGGGATGAGAAGGAACCTATAGGAGCACTAGGTTGGAAGAAGATATAGGGAAGGTTAGGGATTCATTGAGTGCTTTGCATTTCCATCTTGTCTGCTTATTTATTGTAATAATGGTCCAAGAGCTGCTAAATATGGGACAGGTTCTCAGGTTTTTTTCTGTAGTAGTTTCAGACCACTTTGTAAGCTTCCTTGTCTTTGTTCATTTGTTCGTGTCCTTTCATTGCACAGAAGGTAAAAGCTGGCTTGATTTTTAGTATACTATTCCACTGCAAGATTTTATTGACTTTGTATTGAGCTGCTACACCCAGAAAATAACTGCCATACCATGGGAAGCAATTAAAAAAAAAATCCATCTGCTTTTCCATTCTGTTTCTGGAATTTACCCTCTAAAAACTGACTATGCAGGCCCTGAAGATCATGTTACTTTAAGCAAAGCTGGAATAGGCTACTTATTGTTCTAGGCCACTGGTATTCCCCTTTTTCAGACATTGCCTGCAGAAATAACGAGCAGCTTAAACAGGGCTCCGTTTTCGAAACTGTCAACAACTTGAGTTCCCCATTTAAAGGCTCTGGCACTGGGGCACCCTGAAGCCAGGCAATGTTAGCAGAGTTAATAAAGAACAAGGAAAGCCTGTGGGAAGGGGAGAGGCCTCTTCCGCAGGGTGAAGTGCAGCAGTGTTGTATAAGACTGAGATCCAGGGCTCTGCCAAGCTCCACAGGCAGCAAGATACTGATTTGTGGCTTTGACTATGAGAGAGAGGGTCTCATGCCCACACTTCCCACTGTGCCATGGGGGCAACAGTTGGCTCAAAGCCCATATCTGTTGGTGCAAACCTTCCTTCCTTCTCTGGCACAACACTGGAGGGAGGAGGAGTCTGATTATATAATCCCAGAATGATTTGGGTTGGAAGGGACCTTAGAGATCATCTAGTTCCAACCCCTCTGCATGGGCAGGGACACCTCTTACTAGATCAGGTTGGTCAAAACCCCATTCAATTTGGCCTTGAACACTTCCAGGGATGAGGCAGCCATAACTTCTCTGGGCAACCTGTTCCAGCACCTCCCCACCTTCCCAGTAAAGAATTTCTTCCTAATATCTAATATAAACCTGCCCTCTTCTAGTTTAAATGGTTAGTCCTCATTCTATCACAACAGGCCCTGGGTAACAAATCTCTCTCCAACTTTACAATTCCTCTAAGTGTTGAAAGGCCACAATAAATGGGATGCATTAGGAAGAGCATTGCCAGCAGGTTGAAGGAAATGATCCTGCCCCTCTACCCAACCCTGCTGATGCCACATCTGGATTACTGTGTCCAGTTCTGGGCTCCTCAGTACAAGAGAGACATGGAGCTCCTGGAGTGGGTTCAACCAAGAGCTACAAAGTTGATCAAAGGACTGGAGCATCTCTCTTATGAGGAAAGGCTGAGGGAGCTGGGCCTGTTCAGTCTTGAGAAGAGACAACTGATAGGGGACCTTATCAATGTCTCTAAGTATCTGAAGGGAAGGTGTCAAGAAAATGGAACCAGGCTCTTCTTGGTGGCCACAGGAAATAGGTCGAGTCAATGGGCAGAAACTGATGCATAGGAAGTTCCTCCTAAATATGAGGAAGAATTTCTTTACTGAGTGGGTGACCAATCACGCACTGGAACTGATTGACCAGAGAGGGTGTGAGGTTTCCCTCACTGGAAATTTCCAAGAACTGTCTGGACACAATCCTGTGCCATGTGCTCTGGGATGACCTTGCCTGAGCAGGAAGGTTGGGCCAGATGACCCACTGTGGTTCCTTCCAGCCTGACCCATTTTGTGATTCTGTGAACAAGGTCTCCCCAAGAGCCTTCTCTTCTGAACAGCCCTGACTCTCTCATTCTTTCCCTCATAGCAGGGATGCTACAGGTATTTCATCCTTATTAGAAGGTGGTCCCCTCCAAAGTCCTCACAACATCAGTTCCACAGGATTTCCAATCACCGGTGACTCCCCAAACCACCCAAAACAACTCTGGCAATATTGATGCTCTGCAGGAAGGATGCTCTGTCCCCTCTACCCCCCAACCACCACCTCTGCAGCCTCCTAAATTTTTTCCAGCCTTTACTTCTGGTTAGTAAGGCAGCTGCTGCTGAAAAAGAAGTGACAGGTTGTAGGCTGGAGGGGAGGGAAGGGGTCAGAAATGCAGAAGGGGCGCGCAGCGCTGGACCGCCCCCATTCCCTGCAGCCGCAGCCGCATCCCCGTCCCGCCCTTTGCCGGAGCGGCCCCCGCCGCCACCAGTGGATGGGACGGCGGGGGGGAGTGTCCCCATCGCTCCCGGCCCCGTGGCTAGGGCCGCCCCTCTCGGGCGGGGGCGGACGAAGAAAGGCGGGCGGCGGGCGGGCGAGCAGAGCGCGGAGTGGCGGCGCGCACGGCTGCGACCCCGCGGACACCACCGCGCCGGCATGGCTCGGATTTCCTGGCGGGGTCGCGGCGGTGAGGTTGTGGCAACGGGGAGGGGGGCTGCAGGGAAAAAAAATTATGGGGAAGGGGGAAAAGAGATGAAAAAGGAAACGAAAGGAGAAGGAGGTGAAGAAAATAAAAATTAGCGCAAAAGGAAAAGGGGAGTATGGTGCGAAAAATAAAAAGGTGGCAAAGGGAGAAAAGGCGGAGAATGGGGGAAAAGAGAATTTTTTTCTTTAATGCGGAAGAAAGGGAGGCAGGTCGGAGGGGAGGGCTGGGCGCGGCGCTGTTATTTGGGAGCGGAGGATGGTGCCTGCGCGGGGCGATGAGGCGCGGCCTGGCCCCGCTGGCAGGTGGGGCCGAGGCCCACGTGGGAAAGGTCTTGGGGGACTTCCCCTGTGGATCCCCCTGTTGGTTCCCCCTGTGGCCGGGGGGGTGCGGGCCGTCCCTCCGCGACCGCAGCCGCAACACCGGGTGTTGCCCAAAAGGAACTCTGGAAGGAGCGGGGGTGGAAGAGGGCCTGGGGTGAGCGCAGGGGGCAGCGTTGACGGTCGGGAGCCCTGACCTGAACACACGGACAGCCGGGGAGCTTTAAGATGGAGAGGAGGAGAGAACGCGTGCGGCGCGTTCTGCGCTTCCCGGTGCTTCTGCCGCCGGCCTGCTGCCTGCTATTTTTAGCAGCTGTTAAATTATCTTCAGGAGATTTATTCTCGCTTCTTTTCGGGTATTCGAGCTTGTTATTCTTCTTGCCAACCCGGCGAAGAGATTTTTGGTTTTTAATTTCTTTTTTTCAGCCTCTCTCTGACTTCATCCTAGTGATCCTTGCCTTGCCGGGGATCCTGCGGGGTCAGTTGTACCAGTGGCCTTTCCATGCCGAACAGAGTGCACAGCGCTGTTTTTCTATCTTGGGCTATCTTGCCGCTGTGCTGGCCTTGAACAACCTGGACTGCACCATCCTGGGGTGGGCACTGTATTGCTGCCACATCTTCCTCGGGAGAGGGAGGGCAGCTATTTTTCTGCAAACGTGGGAAGGTGCATTGAAGCTCTGGTACTTCTCGCTGTTGTCAGTGGTCATTAAGGATTGCTGGGTCACAGAAACACAGAGCTAGAGGATTCATTGCTTCAGCCTGTGTGCAAAATACCTGTATTCAGATTGGTGTAACTAATAGGCCTGCATGTGACTTCTGTAAAGTCCTTTAATGCTAGAATAAAGCATTATGGTAATGCTTGGTCCTGCTGCAGGTGCTACTATCACATCTGGAAAGGCTGAGAGCAGGAATGTTCTGCCTTTAGAGAAGCTTACATGTTTTCTGTGCCTGCAAAGAGTGACATGTACCTGAAACATTGTGCTTCAGAGGAAACCTGCATTTTCTGCCTGCTGGACTTGCCTTGGGCTGAGGCCAGGAGTCACAGCTGCACATTCCGTATGATGTGGCATGCTCTGTAGTCACACCTCTGTAGTCTCAACCTCTGCCTGGGGCTCAGAAACTTGAAGAGAAGCATAAAGGCACCTAGTACTGGCCTGAAGGACTGAACTGTAGATTTCTTATCTTCTGACTTGATAGGATGCTCTTTACCTGGTCTGTCAACAATGCTGTGCACTCTCACCTCAGGCTGGTGGTCCTGCTTGTTTTATTGTAGCCCCAGATCCAGGAAGAAAACTCAGAGTAATAACCATGGCATTTGTTTTGTTTCAGGTGCTGCTGGAGTGCTGGTAGGACACCCCTTTGACACTGTTAAGGTGGGTTGATTATGAAACATTTTTGCCTTTAAGTAGAAAACTTAAAGTTTCTCCAAGGAGTGGGAGAGGAAAAAAATTCCCCAGACACTGTAGGAGCATAAATCTGTGTGGGAAAGCTTGGAACAAGCCTCCACAACCTGTTTATAGATTTTTCAATCTACAGCTCCTCAGAAATGAAAACCCAGTAACATGACAAACCTTGACCTAAACTGCAAGTTCATCAGTGCAGTAACAATATTGTATTTGGAAATGCAATCTTCCATTTAACCAAATTTTGTTCTAAGCTTGCTTCTCTGCAGCTGATCAACACTAACTGCTAGAACTGCCTCTCCCTGCATTTGGAACTCAAACATACTTTGATATTAGGTTGAAAGATTGTATTTTGTTGTCCCCTCAAGCTCTGCTACTTACTCCTTAATTTGTAGCACTAGCCAAAGGGTGTAAGTGAATAAAAATCCAAGTATGAAGCTTGTCTGGGGGCTTTTTCCTCCAAGTATTATTTTTATAACTTTCCAAGTTCAAATTGATTTTATGATGATCTGTTAATTGTGTGTGTTACACATACTTCAGCTACTTCAAATATAAGATTTGAGATCTTCTGAAGGGTCCTCCAACTAGGGCTCCCAGGAGTGCAAACCCATCCTTCAGAATGGAAGGACAATTTAAGTCACCGTTTATCAGCCTTGTCCAAATTCCCCTGCTGGAAGAATAGAAGAAGGGATATCAATATATTACCTGCTAAATTAATATACCCGATCACTTAACTTCAGCAGACAGCCTGTTGTGCACTATACCTATATTTGGAATACCTTTGCCCTGCTGAATTTAGATACGCAAAGGTCGTGGGCTGATGAAAGCCATCACCGTGTTCTGTATCCTAGCACATGGTTAATTCAATACAGAATTCCCGAGCTAGTGGTCATTACTTCTCTTTGCAAGCTTGCAGTGCAAGCTGCTCAAATAGTAAAGTCTGTCTTTTTGTCATTCAGAACATGGTAAATTTGACTGTTAAGTAATTCAGTTGAATTCTAGTATATATTTTCAGGAATGGCATTATCCAGACTTGCACAATTTTTCTTATGATGGCACAGGGCCAGCTGTCTTTTTCTGTCCCCCCCAACCTGCCAAGTTTCACGTACTTAACTGAAGGTGATGGGTCATTTCACTGAATCCTGCAAAACTGCACAAATTCTATGCTCAAATTAAAGTTAATTATGTGTAGGGTTTTGGGGGGTTTTTTGTGGGTTATTTTTTTTTGTTTTGTTTTTGGTTTTTTGAAGTGGAACAGCTTCTACTACACGAAACTAAACATTTAACTGTCTGCAGAAATTGTGGCTCCCATGCTAGTTTCAGCAGATGTATTATTGCAAAATAGATGTACTGGCTTTGAAAAAAGCATCTTGCTTTACAATAGAGCAAATAGTTTGTTTCTGGATGACTCTCCATGTTTTCTGAAATCTAGTGTGGTACATGATATTTTCATATCCATTTGAAGGTATTATAAGCAATCTATTTTTTGTTAGAGCAAATACTAATATTTGTGTTATTAGCTGGCACGGTCATCACTGTCTGTGGGAAAACTAACCAGCCTTTAAAGGAAAAAACAAGCAAACAAAACATTGCATAACTTGTGTATGTATATGTGTTAAATATTAACTCTTGTTGTAGTTCTGCAGTGTTTAAAGGGCTAGCTGGTAGTCAGCTTAGACTGTGCATTTTTAATATAACTGAACAATGGGAAAGCTGCTTAGATAAGCCAGAATTTTACTTCTGTCTTGGCATTTAAGCTCTTTTTTGGTTTTTTTTTTGGCTGGTGCTCATGTTTCACAGAGCGGGGAGGGGGATGGTGGGACACACAGGGAGAAAATTAAGCCGGTGAAGTCACCCTGCAAAACCTGCAACTGAGCTGATCTCAGAACTGGCAAATTGCTTTTCCCTGGTTTGTTGATGTAATGTATAAAATTGCTTTTTTGCTTTTAACTGCCTTTACTTTCTGAGCTAGGGGCTGTCTTCATTAACAGCAAAAGTGTTACTTTGTTGTAGATGACAGATAAGCCTCATCACGGAGAGTTACCTAGTAAGTATAGCCCAGGTGAACACTTCTGTTTCTCTCAGTCTTAATTTATTCCCAAATGTATTAGTTCAAGTAAAGACCTGAAAGACTTACAAAGCTTTTTCCCTTTTTGGTTTTAAACTGATGTGTCCCTCTTCTACAGCTATGGCATGGAGGGAGCGGGGTTTGAATATCCTTTTTTTTTTTTTTTTTGATGTAGTTTTATTCTGAACCCTCTTTCTGCTATGCGTTTCTGGCTGTATAAAGTTCCACACACAGTGCCTCTAAAACTGAATCTCAGGCACACTGTTACTGAGGTCTTACCCACTACATATCTTTGGAGGATGTTTTCATTGCTAAAACACTTCTAAAGTCACCTATTTCCCGCATTATTAAATGCTTGGACTGTTTGGGGGATGTAGTGGTTTGGGGTTTTTTTTGTTTAGTCTTCAGTACCTTTATGCAAGTCTTAAGTAATGTGAAATTAATGTGTGTTATTATTCAACCTAAAACCTTAGAAGGGAGTAAGAATATAGGCCAATGAATGGAATAGCAGGCTAAACTTTGCACGATTCATTCTTCCTGTAGTTGTAGACACTACAGAGCTTGTTGAATATGGCATTAATATGCATGAAATAAAGTTTATGTGCACTCACTGCCTTAGTAGCTTGCTAATGAGGGTACCTCGATGTGACCAGCACTGTTCTCAAGAGAAAGAGACATTTTTCATTCTTAGACCTGGAGAGTCAGTACTCTCTAAATATTTCATCCTACAACAGGGCTTAATCTGTTACTATTTCACAAATTATTTGGGCAAAAGTGGGAGCTATTTGCCACTAGGAAATTCAACCCATATATAGAATATGACTAATTCTAAACTACTAAACACAAGTGTGTAGAAAAGATGAAGTAAGAAGGTTTCTAAGCTGCAAATCTCCCCGAGCATATCCATGTGGAAGTCCACTAACTTCACAGATGGGGTTTGAAACAATAGTAGTAAATTATAAATGGAGTAAAACCTTCATTTGTGCAATTGTGACAGCTTGTTAAGATTTATGACTTTGTTTGTGAACCTGCTTCTTTAACAGTTTTGACAATCTGCCCATCCCCCAGACGTCCCTTTAAATAACAAAGGATTTATTTTCTTTGAATCCTACCATAAGACTGCTTTTAACCCTAAGATGTTGTAAGACCTGCAAGGATCTCAGCCTCCCAGTATGCTAGCATACACTCATGTGTATACTAAAAAGATACTGAAAACTAATGTTTTGATTTACAAAGCATAAAATATGGGTAAGAATATTTTAAAAAAAATAATTTATTTTTCCTTCCAAGAAAGCTAACATGAATACAGCATTCTGAAAAACCACCTCCACAATCCTTTTCTAGACTCACATCTTACAGGTCTTTCATTGTTTTGGTGGTGGTTTTCATTACCTTAGGCAAAAACAGATAAAAAGATCTTAAGTTCAGGAATGTTTCACACAGATACGATAATCTTATTTTTTTGCTCAGAATAACAGTCTTGAAGGTTTTTGCCCTGGAGTTGCAGCAGCATTAAATGGTTGATAAGCATCTTTCCTGAAGAACATTGCAGCCCTCCACGCTGGAGATCAAAGACAGATTTATAACTTTATCAATGCAGTGAAACCAATTTATTGAGTTTATTGCAGTGTAGGGCTTTGCATAAGCTAAGTACAATTGGCACTTTTTAAACCATACTGAGGGCAAATTACCATGAAAAAACAGAATTGGACTTTTCCATTAAAGGTTTAAAAACATCCAGAAAAGGGCCTGTCTCCTAAGACCACCAGTTACAGCAGCATCTATCTGTCCAGTAGAATGTACTATTTCAGCTTTGGAAAAGTTAACTGATTACTAGCATTAAAGGTTTGAAACAGCCACGCCCTCATCAATTGCTTGTATTCAGCAGGTTTAAAAAAAAAAACAGACTAAAATTTAAAAGGACTAGTGGCTTTTTATTCCTTCTCTTATGCAAAGACAAACATCTTAAGAGTCACTGCCCAACTACCCTCTGAATAAAAAAAAAATTAGATCTCAATGAATGGCCCAAATCTGGTAACCAGATACACCATGGGTGTTGTTGAAAGTTTCCATTCTTTTAAAACTGTCCTTATTTCACAATTGACTTGCAAATAATTTTTTTTATAAAATTCTATCAGGTTTGTATGGATATTCCTTAGTGTGAACAGAATTATTCCTGGCAGCTACAGAAAGTCCCTATTGTAGCCCGTACTGGAAAACTTCTGTTTGAAATTCTAGATAACAATGCACCTTTCCACATACTGGTTTTCTGATATTCACAAGAAGTTAATAATCCTCTTACTTTAATGTTTTCACCCCCCAAATTAATTCAAAACACTTACACAAGATTTTGAAATGATTTTGCCACATATCTAGTGTCCAGCCCGTGTTTTTGCATATCCATTGCAATAGCAAATTTCCACATAGGTACAAGACACTAGTTTACCCACTAGGCTGCTCCTGATGTACAAATCAGTATCTCACACAACTTTTTTTTAGGTTCGTCTACAAGTTCAAAATGTAGAGAAGCCTCTCTACCGTGGGACTTTCCATTGCTTTCAGTCCATCATAAAGCAAGAATCTGTAAGTTTTGCATATTTTTTTATCTTTGTATATTTTGACTCAAAAGGGTGGGAAAGCTGTTAAAAAAAAACAAAACAAAACTACAGATGTTGAAGATCAAGAGATAAAGCATACTCTGAACCTCACCTAGGGCAGATATTGTAATCAGAAGTTTGCCAGAAACTTTGTGAAGAGTATTACTAAGTTGGTATTTCGAAGTTAATTTTTTAAATAAAATAATAAGTTATTTAAATAACTAATTTTCTGAGAACCCAAGCAATCAGAGAAATGAGTGAAGAGATTAGTGAGGTGTTGCTGAAGCTTTAAGACCTCAGCTAAAAGGGTGGCTTCAGGCTTTAAGATACTTTAAAAAAAAAAGTATAAAATTTGCCAGAAAACTTTTCTCTTGAGGGACTAAGATTATTTTATGGGTATGTTCAACTGTATATTTGTACTGCTGAGTTGTTTAGTTGTTTGTGTCCTAGGCAGAGATGAAATTTCTATTACTAAGCAAGGTGGTTCTGATCTTCTGACCACTGCTAGAAAGTTAGGGCACAATGGAGAGCCAGAAAGGCCACCTTCTGCAGTTTCAGAAGGTTATCAACACCACTGTTAAAAAGCATTTTTCCTTCCTTTTTCCATCAGGCTTTTGGACTCTATAAAGGTATTGGGTCACCAATGATGGGACTTACATTCATTAACGCGCTCGTGTTCGGTGTACAAGGAAACACACTTCGTGCTCTTGGAAAAGACACTCCATTAAACCAGTTCCTTGCAGGGTCAGCAGCAGGGGCTATCCAGTGCATCATCTGCTGTCCCATGGAGTTGGCAAAGACAAGAATGCAGCTTCAAGGAACAGGAGAATACAAACAGAAAACAAAGAACTACAAAAACTCTCTGGATTGTTTGATCAAAATCTACCAGAAGGAGGGGCTGAGGGGAATCAACAGGGGCATGGTCTCAACATTCATAAGAGAAACTCCAAGCTTTGGCTTTTACTTCCTGACCTATGACTGCATGACTAGGTATTTAGGCTGTGAAGCTGAAGACAGTTACGTTATTCCCAAACTGCTGTTTTCTGGAGGAATGTCAGGAATTGTGTCCTGGCTCTCAACCTATCCCATGGATGTGATCAAATCCCGACTTCAGGCCGATGGGGTCGGAGGCGTTACCCAATACAAGGGCATTATGGACTGTGTCAGAAAGAGTTACCATGAAGAAGGCTGGAGGGTGTTCACGAGAGGTCTCACTTCCACGCTGCTCCGTGCTTTTCCTGTCAATGCAGCTACCTTTGCTACTGTCACTGTGTTCCTAATGTACATGAGGTCAGACGGCAACATTCCTGAATGTGAACCAGATCTAGTAATCCATCAGCCTTCCAATTTGCAAACTTAATCTGTTTGTTCTCCTCATCCAAAGCCCAGCTGGTTGGGTTTTGTTGAACATGAACATTTGACCTGCACAAGTAGTGTAGATGGTAGATGTATGCTATCTGTATAAAGAATTCCTAAATGTCAAATTAGGATTTCATCTCACTACTTGTATAAACAGCATCTTGCCTTATTCAGGACTCCATATCTAGTAGTATTCAAGTCAGACGGGGACCTGCCTTTAGAAAGTTATTGTTGTGGCTCCAGAAGAGGATCTGGAGAATGCCATAGTACCAGAAATTGTTTTCTTCCACTCATGCTCTGAATGAATGAGTTGAGTTGAATGCAGAAATTTTGTCATGAAAGAAATACTCATTTTGTTTGTGACAGGAGTTAAGTACACTTAAGATAAAGTAGGGGGAATAAATTAAATGTTGGAGGCATTTTGCAGGTAACCCTGAACTGTTTAAGACATGGACTAGCATTCAGCTAGTCATGTTTTACTTATCCTCTGCTTTTATACGTCAGTGGTTTTAATAGCAACTTTGTTCATACTGATTTGCAAAAAAAAAAAAAAAGAAAAAGAGAGAAAATATTTGTATTTAAGCTACTCCCTTACCTTTCAGCTTTGAATAAATATCTTAAGCACAAAGTTAGCATCTGCACTCAAATGCACTTGTTCCTTTAAATCTCAAGGCTTGTAAGGATTTAGGGAAATTCAAATCTAGTAAGATTGATGTTGTTTGCCTTCACCTCATTTCTCCTTTGGTGGGTGCATGGACTGTATTAAGTTAGTTCAGCCCACGTAGACTTTGTTCTCCAAAGTTAATGCAACTTTGCACCACTTCTCCCAACGTGCCCCATAGCAGCCAGTGATGTACAGATGTCAAAGTCCTGCTTGTGGTATTGCACAAAATGTTTGCGGGTGCAATGTTAGCTTAGCAGCTCCAAGTACCATAGAAATACATATTTAGAACTAGAGGTTTCATATCTTTTCAGAAAATAGAGGTGTAAGTGTCTGAAATGGTTGCTGTTCAATACACTTGCATTATGAATTGAAACAATACTGATTTTTATGTATTTAGTTACAGTGCTACTGGAAAGAAGACTGGAAAGGGTTTTGGAGAATTTTCTTGTTACATTAATCTGCTGTGATTATTTTTTTTTAGCAGTCTGCTCAAGAAAGATTGTATTAGTCAAAGAGCTATAAACAGTTATTTAAGATTTGAAAAAAACCCTACACATATTTGGCACAAATAGCCAGAAGGAAGGAGTGCATGTGTGTGAGCAATGTTTTAAAAAATATCAAAGTAGTTCAGTAAGTACAACTTGTTACACTTTTGGTTGGGACAAGTGCAATATGTGTTTAATTTATATGAATTTTCTAAAGAAACCTTATGTCATAGCGTTTTGCACTGTAACAAAATATGCTGGAGAAACCTGTAAAACTGGTATGTCTCTTTATACCTTGGAGGTATGATGGATGTTCTAGTGCCTACTTGCACTGAGATTCAAATTGAATGTTAAATCTATCTACTAAGCTGCATATGCACAACAACTCACAGTAAAGACCATTTACACCTTTGTACAGTAGACTGTAATTATTGTATATAAAATTGAAGAAATAAATTTTTTTAAAATTTTTACTTTGGTTCTCAGGGTTTTTTTATGTTTTACTCAGATGCTTCTCTGTGTCAAATAGAGCTTGCAAGAGGGTGGGGTTTCTGCTTTTTCCCAGTAGAAACTTGTTCCCATCTGCCTTCCATACACTACCAGGAAGGGCAGAGTCAATCAGTTCACCAGAGCAAAGAAAGGAAACTGCCTGGCCTCACTTCTTCAAACTGACCTTTCTGCTGCTAAGACAACAGTCCTGCTTTTAAAGCCAAAGATCTGATGCTATGCTTAAACCCTTCATATTCTGCAGTTCTTTGATTTCAGCAGTGCTGATCAGCACCAACTGCTGAAGACAAGTCTTGGGTCTCTGAGGAGTCACGTAGAATCAAGAACTGTTCATATCTGACAAGAAGAATACTTGGCTCTGTAATGCACAGTTTAGCAAAAAGTTTTGTAGGTTGTAGCTTTTTGTTTTTAGACAGTGCAACTAGCCCAGAAAGACCATCAGTATTTCAAATAAAAAGCCACCCAGGAAAAGCGGGATGATGATGACCTATGAAAAAGACCTCTCCTTGCTGATCATAGAATGGTTTGGGTTGAGACCTTAAAGACCATCTAGTTCCAACCCCTTTGCCATGGGTAAGGACACCTTCCCCTACACCAGGTTGGTCAAAGCGCCACTCAATTTGTCCTTGAACACTTCTAGGGATAGGGCAGCCGCAACTTCTCCGGGAAACCTGTGCCAGTGCCTCACCACCCTCACAGTCAAGAATTTCTTCCTGATATCTAATCTGAACCTACCCTTTTTCAGTTTTAAACTGTAATCCCTCATCACTCCATGGCCTTGCAAAAAGTCCCTCTCCAGATTTACAGTAGGCCCCTTTTAGGTAGTGGAAGGTCCTCTAAGGTCTCCCCAGTCTTCTCTGCTCCAGGGTGAACAGCTCCAATTCTCTCAGCCTGTCTTCATAGGACAGGTGCTCCAACCCCCCTGAGCATCTTTGTGGCCTTCTCTGAACTCACTCCAGCCTCACTGTTGAGACGTTATTTCAAGTCCTGCTTCTGCTACTTCATCTTCTTGTGACCGACACAAACCCTGTCAAGCATCAGTTTACCAGATCAGAAAAGGAAAGGCCAACACCTCTGCAGCTGACCGTGACCAGGGTCAGTTCTAGTCAAGTACTTTTTGTTCTCTCCGCAGGAACAACAACACTGAACTATGGAACAGACACAAATACCTGAAGTAAGCAAACAGTGTATCCCTAAAAGACTAATATTATTAAAACAGAAAAGGGCTATACAACATTTTATTTGTAGTGTTTACTAAAGCATTCTCTCCAGAATTTCATCCATCTGGAACTTAAGATATAATCAGTAGCAGACACTGGATGTTACTCAACAAGCATGAGAGGAGGGTAAAGCCAGCTTTCAGCCTAGTCTGATGTCACTTGCTTGGAATCTGTGCAGCTCCTAACTCTTAAATCAAGCTAGACAATAGTCTCAGCCTTTTTAAATATGATACAGTTCCTTCCTGTTAGATTTTTGAGATGTCAGACAATTCAAACAGAACTATGTCCTGCCTCTTCAGATACTTCTTCCCACAGCATCGTCAAGCATCATGATCCTAGCCAGTAGATGCTCTATTAATTCCCCAACATTTGAAGGGACTAAGAAGGTAAAACTCACTGAAAGTAAAACCCACTATCAAGAGCTCTACTCTTTCTTAAACTGGATGGGTCATGACACTGTTACAAGTTACAGCCACAAACATGCTCAATTAGGACAAGAGGGGAAAAAACCACCCAGGCATGGTACTTCTTACAGAAGTTACTGTAGTAGAACTAGCAGTGTGAAATTCAGTTCATCATGCCTGCAACTGTAACACAACTGTATTTTTTTTGTCCCCTCTTTATCTTTCTCTGCATATATGCAGTGATAGGACAAGGGGTAATGGCTTTGAGCTGCGAGTTGGTTTAGATAAGGTATTAGGAAAAAATTCTGTACTATAAGGCTCTGGAAGAGGTTGCCCAGAGAAGCAGATGTCCCATCCCTGGAAGTGTTTGAGGTCAGGCTGGATGGAGCTCTGAGCAACCTGGTCTAGTGGAAGGTGCCCCTGACCATGGCAGAGTGGCTGGAATTAGATGATCTTTGCGTTGGCTCTATCCAACCCAAGCCATTCTAGGATTCTATGATACAGCTCTTTATACAGTTTACATGAAAAAATAGCAAGACATTCAAGGGATGAAAACCTGTCCATTACAGCTGCAGTATAGGTAGCACACTGGGAAAGTGGCTAAGACACAAATGTAAAAAATTGATCTTGCAAAGAAGAAATGTGCTTGTTCTTTAAAATTAAATATATTTATTATGATGCTGGAAAACAGGTATTAACAACTGCTGTTAGCCAGACCTTTAATCTGTGGACAGCTAAAGAACAATTTAAAGCCCAAAAGTGTGCCAAACACCATTGGATTAGCAGAATGTGCAATTAAAAAAAAACAGGCAGAGAAAATAGAAGCTTACCCAAGGCAACATGCCCTACCCAACACCACAGCCATGGAAACAGATGAAGGATCTGAGGGACTCTATGACTCTGGGAGGCACAACAAGAGAGCAGGGAAGCAGAGAACTTGCTGGGCCAAACCTAGTGGAGATAGGCTTTGAAATCAAGAGGAAGCAAACTGTTCCTTTCAATGTTCAGGAATTTATGCATATCCATGGGCAGCAGGGGAGCAAAGCAGAGCCATTTTTATCTTCCCAGTGCAACTATTTTGCAATTTTTATATTAGTGTTGTCCTCACTAATTGCAAAACTGGTTATTGCTAACAGAAAAAAAAGGTGACATAATATGCACAATAATACATATGATATACAGTAAAAGCTTTTCTACTTATAGTTTACTAGCAGTTTTAATTGATTTGACCTAGAAAGTGATTTAAAGCTATACTGGTTCATCAATAAATAAAGTGAGAGCAAGGCAAGGTCTGCAGTGAAAACTAATACCCTACAGATTGATATAAATTGAAGAAAGGCAAGTTCTGATGTTCACAAAATGGTCCTTCAGTCTATAAAACCTAACAACTAACACAGTCAAATTGCTTCTTTGTATCATTCACACTTCATTACGATTGCTTTTTCACATTGAAACACTGTGTGTTTTTTACTAACAGTAAAATAGACATGTACCATTTTAGCCGTAATTATGTCTCAATTGATAAAATACTTCGCAATGAAGCCTGACCTCATGGTCTGCACCGTTTGGTAAATATATCAAAACAGAAAGAAGTATTGCTAGAGCAATTTGAGTTGGCCAAATTAATGCTGGTATGAAATGAGTATTCCTTTTCTAGGACCTGATCTAGTTCTCTTAAGCAGAGATTTATTGTAGATCAGGAGTACTTAAGTGTTGCAATCAACCAGGCCATACACATTATTCCTTGTGCACTGAGGTATTTTCACTTAAGGAAAAATCTCTAACAGGCGTTTTCACTTAAGGAAGAGTCTGTAACAGGCACTTTTCAAACAGCCCAGTAATAAAGCTGAAGCTTTTTAACTGCAATTAAAGAAGGTAAATATAAAAGTAACTTCTACCCTTAATTTAATCAAGGCAGATACCTGCTTCCCTGCCAGTTCATAACTCAAGAGACTGTGCACATTTTTATTTCTCCCTCTAGAAAACTCTAGATGAAATCCCTTACCCCTAACCTATGCAAGAAAAAAGAATAAAAATCAATCAACCAACCACACAAGAGGTAAACCTGAAGACCTGACATTATTCCTTATGATCTGTTTCCAAAACATGAAACATTTGTATGCCCTTTGAAGCTATAGGAGTCATTGGATTCATATAAATCCATTGGAGGTTCAGTCAATTTTATTGAAAACTGAAGGATTCTAAACCAAAAAGCCAAATCTTCTGTTTTGCTGAGAAAAAATAAATGGGTTGAAAAATAAGTCAAAACAGAAGTTGCACGATGCCTCACACGTGAGGCAGTCAAAACCTTTGCAAGCCAAAATGGCAGCTGGCAACACTTAGTGAGGTCCTTCACAAGCATCTTGCAGCTGTGAAGGACACCTGACTTTATCAGCCCTTAAATCAAAACACTAACCAACAAGGCAGTTTTCCACAGATTTGTCTTGCAACCAATTGCTGATATGAACTTTAGCTGAAGCACATTAGGATGTGATTTCTTGTGTATGGATTTTCCACTATGTAACAAGGAGTACATCTTATGCCTCAGTCTTTATAAGCTCTGTGATTTATCTCAAAACTACTCCTGTTATTCACAGCATTCTTCTGAAATACACTTTTTCTGTGGGCCTGCTCCAGAAGAGAAACAGCTTATTTGAGATCTTTGATTCCCTAAAGAGCAGCAACGCAAGACTCCAGTGCAACATCTGTCCTGTTCTACAGTCTCTGCAATGCTCTTGCAGCAACAGACTGAAGCAAAGGCCCCAACTGCCTTGGGAGAGCTTGGACTTTCCAGGAAGCCACTGTTGGAGAGAAGCAGTGGTGTTTTACAGGTCTATCAGCTAACCAAAATAGCCACTCACGGCTGAAAGCACATTCATTAACACCACGTGACATTAGGTTTCCACATTTCTCTCTAAAGATATTTAGTATTAATATTTGATGTATGCATGCATATATGACCCCAAAACTCGACAGTTTTTATTTACAGTCTTTATTTCCATTGCCTTGCTGGTGCTTTTTTGATGAATGCACAAGTACACCCGGGACTCTCAGAAATCAGCTCAGAATTGTACTCCTTATTCTTCTGCACTGGTGTGTGGGAAATCTGCTCTTTGACACTGGCATGCTCCAAGTCTGTCAGGGTCCACTGAACACCCCAGGACACCCTACACACACTTGACCTCACAGGGGCACCCCGACACTGCCATTCTGCCTGCTGGTCACGCTGTGCAAACAGGTAATTCACTGCCATCTCCTGGCAAACTGCGACTAGGGAGTTTCTGCCCAGACTGAGAGAAAGCACTGACACAGATGTCACCCAGTATCAGCCCGATCAAAGAGAAATCACACTTAAACCTGCAACAACACTTCATAAGTGGTGGCAAGAGAAGCACACAGAAGTTCTGCAAGGGACACCACTGCCTCTCTGTCCCTTTCTCTCCCTCCCTAAACCAATACTGGACAGAACTTCAGGCTTGCTCCTGAAGAGAGCTTCCAGCATTCACAGGAACCTGGTGAGAACAGCAGCTCACAAGAGGGTTATCACATCCACACCTTAACACGCAATAGAAGGCATGGTACCCAACCAGTACTCAATCTTAGAGTTTTCTGTTAGAAAAAAGTAACAGAGGATTTGGAAAACCCTGAAATTGAAGTTGTCTAAAACCCAGTTGCTGCTATAAGTGATCTTATCCATTTACCTAGAGCAAAACTGTTTCTCTGTTACTTCAGGGGAAGCCAGGACCTGAAAAGTTCACATTAACTCTTACACAGAATCTGATGTGCTTGCTGCAGAAGGAAATTCTACTCTCCAGACTATTTCCAGAGAGAAAGACTGGAAAAATTCTAAGCAAAACTGCCTTAATAATATAGGATGATTGAGAATACACATAAACTTACTTAAGTTGGTTTATTTTAGGCAAAAAGAATGAAACTGAGAAAAGGACCACTGATTAAATTACAGAATTAAGCCAGTAGTCATCCAGTTGGCATTTAAGCACTGCTGTAAAGCCATCTTCACACTAGACTAATTCATATGATCAAATGGAATACTCAATCTCATTACACAAGCACATATATTCCTGCTCCATTTTGCTTCTGCCTTTATGGAACACTGCAGATGTTTCTGCTCCACATGTTCAACAGAAAGGTCACATACCCTCTGGCCCTACTCCATTCTTCTCCACTCTCCCATTCTTTTGCCCTGGGACTTTTTCCAAGTGCTACTTTTTAACTATTCCATTTACACAGCCATGAAAAAGCATATGGATCTGAAGTCCAACTCTTATTTTTATTCCTGCCTGCAAAATTCACATCCAAAATTCAGTTCTGAAATCCACCCTAGGTTCTTCTCAACAGCTTTAAGCACTACAGGAACATTAGTGCAGTAAAGCTCAGTGCTGACACAAACAGTGCTTACTTCCCTCCTCCGGCCACTGTAACACAGCAGACTTTAGAAGGGTGCTGCACAGATGAAAAACTTGTTATTCTAAAGTGCCAAAATTATAGATGATACATTATAGACACACATTATACATCAACTAATGTCGGTAACAGCTGCTACTTGACTGATTAGACTTCCTAGACCAACTTGTCTAGCAGCCCCAACAAAAACACCAAATTTTCTCAATTTCTTCAAGGCATTAAGGAAACATTTTGAAGAATGCTATTCAGCACATACTGTCCTCGAATTTCTCCATTTTAACTGAGTAGAAAGTCTAATCAAACTGTTTTTCCAAGGCACGCACTGACAAAGTATTCTGTGAGTGCCTTGGGACAGGTGATGACCAAGTGGAAACACCTGTTTACCAGCACTGCCATGCCTCTCCATCTTGCACTTTGAAGGGATTAGCTTTCTTCAGACATCTTAAAGCCTCAATAATTTTGCCATTTCTGCTGAATATTGCTACTTTTGCTTTTTACCTACTACGGAATTAGTGGAGGGAAAGGATCTCCACTTGCCTTTAAAACTATACTACTGCTGACAAGCTACAATGTTAAAATGTGTTTAGCATTTGGCTTTGTTGATTGGCAATTTGCAGCCACAAAGGGGAAGAAAAGGAAGTCAAAATGCTCTACCTCAATTCAACAGCGAACCTCTTCAAACAGAAGATAACTAAAATTAAGTGCAAGTTCAGCTGAGGCCCTGATGTTTTATTTCATTATGAATTTACTCATTTAGGATTTCAAATCTGAACCTGTACCCCTCCTACCACCTTTTCAAGAGACACTCCATGTCTTGTATTTACTGACAGACCATAAACAGACACAGCTAGAGAAGTGTAGTCTGTTCCATTAAAAAGTTGGTCTGAGTACAAAAGATGCTGAGTACTGAATCTGCCTCTTTGCATTCTGACAGCAGCAGAACCAGGTAAGGTAAATGTACGATCACATGAGCAGTAGAATGTGCAAGATGAGTAAGCACTGAAATCTTTCGCCAGTTTTAAAACCACCGGTTACATTTCCACCACCCCTCAGACTCTCCTCCCCTTACCTGAACTCGCTCACACACTGGTGGTGTAATGCAGGAATAGTAGGCTGGGAAAGGTGGTTTCAAAGTCACCTCTTCCTATTCTCAAAGCCTGTAATTGCTTCACTGAAAAACCTTAAGGAAAACTCTGGGATTAGTTAAGCATGATGTTTTAAGAGCAAAGTGTGGCAATTATACTTCAAAAGCTTAAATAACTTATAGAAGCTGCTTGATGCAAGTATTTATTCATATCCAATATGGAATTAACTACTTACAAAGCAAGACCTTTCAAGCTACTAAGTGTTGCTACTTACACTCAGGAGTATATTGAGTGCTACTGATTTGAGGCCTGAATGAAAATTTCTCTCTGTAATCAGATACAATATAACCAGAAATAATAACAGTTATGGTTCCCAGTTGGTCCTCAAACCAATATTTAACATAGTTTAGCCTCAAATATGTGTTCAAGGATGAAGTACTGACCACCTTGCAATTCAATAAAATGGGTACCACTTTACAACACAGGAAAGTAAACTTCTGTGCAAGCTTAACCATCATAGACACTGTTTAAGAAAAAATGTAGGGTCAATTAGAACTAGACTGAATTAATTTTATTTCCTTCCAAAAAGAATAGACACTAATTTAACTGTATACAGAATTTAATTTAACTATAACTATACAAGTTTCAGTATATTGTCCTGTTCAAAAACTGCTTATATATAAAAGAAAAAATACTGCCAAAATTCTAACGCATACTTTACAATTAAATGCCCCAACCTTCTTTCTACCCCTAATAACCTCAGACTAGAGTTGCAGTGTTCAGATTGATTTATGTATGGATGAAAATTCCCTTGGTCGTAAGTGTAGTTTCTTTATTACCCATGTTTTTTTTTGCACTACCACCAACACTGGACTCAAAATTAAGTTTTACAGTATTAGCAATAAAAACTTTGATGAACCTTGTAAGAAGAGAATTCAGAAAAAGATTAACAACACTTTTTACTGCATTAAAATATGTTACATGTCTCTAAAAAATAACTTATGCATTTCTGTGCATTTTCTCCTGTTTATTAATCTGTCACATTTTACTATAGTCTCTGCTAAGTTCTTTCTTTGAACACTTGAACAAATGAGTAGTAACCACTCTTATCAGACCATTTAAACTCAACTCCTTTAAGTTCTCTTAGAACACAAGAGTTTTTGTTTTGAAGCAAAAGGCATCAAATAAGGTTCCAAGAATTTTTATCATTACACTCAGTCAAACAAGTTAGCCAAAAGAAAAGGACAACTTTTTTTTTTTTTCTGGTATGACAACTCAAACCCTACCATTCCTCCACTTTCTATTGTTACTGCATTTAAACCTCCAACATTCTTTACCTTGACTAAATAAAGGTTTCTGTTTAGTTATTTACTGCACTGTTTTACCTAGTTGCTGTCCAGGCACACTGAAAACTCCCCACTACACTGCCAAGTCTGCAAATCCACCGTTCCAGTTAATGGAAGTCTAGGTCACTCAAAACCAGAATTACAGTCGGCAATTCTGTTTAGATATACCATCTGATGTGGTATTATGTAATTGCATCACAAATCACTGTAATTGAATGCAAAGTAAATGAAACTTGAGTTTATTAAGCTTCCAATTTCTGGGAGGTCAAGAGGAACTAGAACTGCTCTGGACAACAAAAGAAAATAGACTGTGCTTACAGATCATTTTCTGCCAGATTCTTTCTTTAGGACCACTGTTTTATTGTTGCCCTTTCTATTACATGGGGGGATGTACATATTATCAGGTGTTAATAAACGGTCAGTGCCTGTACAATACATTCTACAACTGAGCACCACTTTCCGTAACTGAACAGGCAAAGAAATTACACTGAACATCAGCATCTGGCAGTATTTCTCCAAAAAAAGTGACTAAAATGGGTTTAAATTGATTAACACTATTAAATCACATCTAATATTTGATACTACATGATTTCATTACAGCTATACGATACAATTATACAAAATGTGTTAACATCAAAGAATACAACCAAAATTAAGATAGCAAACAAAACCTATATAACTTTTTTTTCTTTACAGGAAAATACTTTTGAAGTATGCATGTAACTGCCCATTCTTTTAAAGAAAATCTACCGCAAGCAAGTTATCACCCTCCAGAAAATCACACATAGCATTACTACGCATATCCCCAAAAAGTGTACAATATGCACACTTGGAAAATACAAAATTAAAAAAAATTGTAAGCAACAGGTGAGCTTCATATTTATAAGAATGTGAAAAGAAGTCCAATTTTAGCACTGTTGTATAAAGAATTGTCTCTTTTGATGCGAGTTCATGAGCTGACCCGGCCAGTTGGGGACGCACTTTACAAAACACCGTGTTCTTGAAACGGGGTTACATATCAAGGTAGAGCATCTTAACAATGTCACCTTAAAGTTTTTTGTGTGATTTCTCTCTTTTTTTTTTTTTGCTTTTTATTTACTACTTATCAAAACACGTCCTTTAGTTTGTAAGGTTCTTTTTTTTTTTTAAAATTCTTTCCTAGAAACAATATACAAAGGGGAGGCGTATTTATTTCCAATTCGTTTTCCTGCAAGACGCTTTTGAGTTCAAGAATGTTCTCCTCCAACTTTCACTGGTTGTTTTTGGCCTTAGCGTGTGTTAAGATGTGAGATTTCAGGTTAGTTGATTGCGCAAACTTCTTATTGCAGCCGTCAAATGGGCAAACGTAGGGCCTGTCGCCAGTATGAATTCGCACGTGTGTGCGTAAATTGAAGTCCAGTGAAAAACGCTTTCCACAGCCTTCAAATGTACACTGTTGAAAGGAAAAGATGGACTCTGTTAGCTAACAAAACAGCACACGTTTCCATCGTTGATTAGAGCAATATTCTTCTTTAAATCATTAGACTGCACAAACATGAAGTCAGATGCTGAAGATTATTATAGCGAAGCTGTGAGCATCATCTGTGAACTGCACCAAAAACTGCAATGCTTAGGTATAGATACTGAAGTATACTATGTATATTATATATACAATAGTATATCTATTTTCAAAGAGGAACATAACTAACTTCCAGCTTACAAGCAAATGCTTTCACTAAAATCACCTGTGCATCTGAAACAGGACTTTGTTACACTGTACTACAAAACAGAAACAAGGTTTCACATCAGCATTTCCCCCTTCCAGTGACAATTTGAAAGATTTACTCATTTTACCCACTTTACTTTTAAGATGGGCTTGAAATAAAAAGGAGGGCATGTTCAGTAGTAAATACTTATACTGACCACAGAGGATATCCAGTGTACACATTTAAGTGAATTCCTGAGGACTGCAAATCAAGTTTATAAAATACTTTACTTAAAAAAATAATTAAAAAATAACATATCTTAAATGTGTATTGGAGAACAGAGATATGCTCAAGCCTATGAACAGCTGTAAAGAAGATTTATAAGCAGTATCATATGAAGAGGGCAGGGGACCTCTGGTGGCAGAAGCCCACGTGACTTGATATAAACAAAAAGAGATTTAGTGACTCTCATAATTTTGCTGAAAACTGATTAATATCCTCTACTGAAAATTAGTATCCTGAGTCAACTGAGCAAACAGCCCCAAGTCTCAGCTGTCCACAAGCACTAAGTTGAAAAGACGATGAGGAGAAAGAGACATTTTCTTAATTCAATAGTAACTGCAACCTTCATTGTTAAAGTAACTTCACATCTTATTTTGAAAGGCATCTCCCATGTACATATGATCAGGCAATTTCTAAGAGAAGTCCACGGAAACAGTTACATGACAGACTAATTAGCTGAAGGGGACTTCCAGTTTCTAAGGTGATCATTCATTGCCTCATCTGATTTTAGGAAAGACACAGTATCCCCAAAGTCCTACAGAAGCCAGGTTACAGTTACAGTGTACATGTATAAAGGGTGGTACTCATGCCTGGAGGTGAACAATACCTGAAAGGGTTTCTCTCCGGTGTGAACTAGCTGATGTCGCTTTAGTTTTGAGCTCTCCACAAAGGCCTTGCCACATTCTGCACATACGTGTACTCGAGGGCCATGAGTGTGCAGATGCTTCCTCATGGCAGAGTTGTCCCTGAACATCTTTGTGCAGCCCTTAAAAAGAAGAGTGAAACTCAATTAGTAGATAAGCTAGTTCTCATGAAGAAGGTTTTATCTGCTACAGTACAAGCATATAAAATGCTTTTATATCCTGAACACTTTTATATAAGTTGGCCCTGAAAAGAACATCCATTACATTTATTTTTAAAAAAGCAATACAAGAAAATTAATAATTTGAAAAGCTGATAAAAAAACCTAAACACAATCTCAAACATAAAAATCTCAAACTGTCTCCTCACTTAATACTATGAGCCATGTGCAGTCAAAGGAATAATAGGACAGTCTCATGAAGAAAATGCAGCTCTGATAGAAGCAAATGAATAAACCAAACAAAAGCACACAATGGTTTTAGAGGACAAAACAAACACAAAACAAAAAACCCAACAAAAAAACCCCAAAAGACAGAATGAATTCATGGATACCTACGGTATATTCTTCAATGTGCTATATTCTGAGTACTACTACAACATATTATATAGTATCTAATATACTACAAATTATTCTCTAGTACCAATTTGTATGTGCACCACTCCATCTCCCAACATTCTGTCATCTTCCTTCTCATTTCTGAGAAAAAATGGAGCAAGAGGGTTGGTTTCCAGCACACAACTTACAGAAACTACCTTGTCCAAACTGGCAGCAGCAGACTGATCACTACCACCTTAAGACAGAGTGCCACTGCTACTACAGTTTAAACCTACAGCGTGATACTGGGCAACTGAGTAAGGTGAGAGAATCTGTTGAGTTAGTGCCAACTCAGCCTAAAAGCAAACAATACATTAACTCAGCTACAGCATCTGAAGTCTTAACCTGTGGTCCATGCTGCATCAACACAGGAATATTGCTTTTGATTCCAGAGTGTGCTTAAGCCAGCAGTGACCTGGGGCTCTCTTTACTTAATCCTTCTACTTGTTTTTTTTTCACCTTTTAATGACAGTAAGTATATCTATCATATGCTTTAGAAATGTCTTCCTCGAGGTTCAAAATGCCTCATAAAATCCTACTAACAACCATAAATTCTATTTGTACTACAAGTGATGCTTGTAGTTTAGACTTACATAAAACTAGTCTACCAACATCACTGTGTTATGAGGCATAAAATTTAACAGCAGAACCTAAAGGAACATTAAATTGCTAATATTAAATTCTGCAGGCTTCTTTTTCAAAAGTAATACATTTGAATATGCCTTATTTCTTAAAAAATGCGAAATGTCACTTTCAAGAAGAGTTCTCCCTTCAGGGACTAGAATTTCTTCAGTTAATTTTGAAGTACTGCGCCATCATTTGTTGCATGTAGCAGAACTGGCAAAGCAGCACCAAAATTAACAGACCATCAACTTTTTCTGTATTTATTTCAAAGTCCCTGCTTGCCTCCAAGAGCAGCAGTTACATCTACAATATATTTCTTTTTTTAACTGCAGTCATAAATGCACAAAGCCTAGAAACACTAGAAGACAGAAAATGGAAAGATAAAACATTCTTTTTTTCCCCCTGTTCAGATGAAGTTGAAGCTATGAAAGAGTAAATCAAAGAAATGAAGGCAACATTCCTTGGTATTGTAAAGAGTAACTGCTCCTGTATTTCTGAATACTGCATTATGATAAAAACATGACACTTGTAGAATGTGGAGAACTGGAAATCAATTTAAGCACAAAGAGGAATTCAGAATTCCTTACACCATGGCAGTCAGAAAGTAGCCCTCTATTCATGCTAATGGGTACTATTAGCTATCTGCCCTGATTATTTGCTTAGGCTCACACTTAATCTAGACCAGAAGTCAGCAAGATTGTATTTGTCTTTTTTTGTGACAGGCTAAGTCAGCTAACAGAAGCACTACAAAAGCTGGATAATGCAGTAAAGACAGATGCTACCAATCTAGGTGACTGGCAACATTTATTCAAGACAGAAGCTTGAATGTGGTTGAGAATCATACTGAAAAGCTGATAAAAAAACCTAAACACAATCCCAAACATAAAAATCTCAAACTGTCTCCTCACTTAATACTATGAGCCATGTGCAGTCAAAGGAATAATAGGACAGTGGTTCAGAATCGTATCTCCAAGATGCCTGCTTCTCAAGATGATGCACCTTCCAGCTCTGTGGAATGTAATTCAGAGTCTTCCAATAACGCTGACTTTGGCATCTGCACCATAAATTGCTGATTCCTGATCTAGACTCCAAATCTGTCATAGTTTCCAAGCAGAGGATATATAGATCTTAGGAACGTACTTTGAACAGCTTTCAGAACATTCTTTCAAGTATGTATTCTTGGGTGTCGGGAAATCACAACAGTAAAACCAGCATGTTAGGGGCTGTGCATCATGGTTACCAGAAGATTAGGGATGCACTAACCTTAAGACAAGGAATGGGAATAATATATTATTCAGTGAAAGGTTTTTAAGGAAGCCTCTAGAGAATAATAACTAAAATACAGTTAACTGAGTGTAGTCTATTAACAGCAAGATATTTTAGTTTTTTATTCTCAAGAGAAAACATCAATACAAAATTCTGATCTACAAATTACTGCCTACTCATAAGCTGAGCACTTCACTTACTTTGTGAGGACAAGCTATCGTTCGTGGAGCATCATCTTCTTTAATTTTTCTTGGTTTCATTCTTAAAGATAAAAAAGAGAACCAACAAACATCAGTATAAAAACATTAGTAGACAGCTCTTCTCCTCTAAGTGCATATATAATGAGCACATTTATCCCTTAGTGTTACATGCATCAGTGGTACTCACTTTAACATTTTCAAAACCTTCATAATAATAATAACAGTATAATTTAGGATTTGCAAAGTTCTGCTTTTCCAGAAGGACCTCTCAAATACAGAATAAGACATTTAATGCTACCTTCTTAATCCTCTATGTGGAAATAGAGGCTTTTTCCCTGACTTATACTAATTGTAAGTAGGAGGTTTTGTTTGAAAACTCCATTTTTGTTGTGCCAGTACCCATGTGGTCTGTTTAGCTTCACTTCCTCTCCATAGGACATGAAGGAGAGAGTAGATGCAATCATTCTTCAGAACTTTCACCACACACAAATCTTCAGAAGAAAACTCTACAGATGTGGGGAAAGCAGGAATCAGGCAAGTTGTGGAATCTACACAGACAACGTAGACAACCATTACAACCACAAAAATAGTCATTTATTCTTACTTTAAGCTACTGTGTGCACGGATTCCACTCTTGGCAACTGACAATCAATCACCTACTTACTCTTGGTCGCTGACAGGGATCTTCAGCATTACTTTCTGGGTGCCACTAATCTCCACTCACTGCATAAGGAGCCCAGCAAACTATTGCTTGTATGTGCTAGGTCTATTTAATACATAATAAGACTCTTTGTAGAAAAAAATCTTAGAACAGTGTTGTCACAACAACCACGTGTCAGAATTCAGAAGAGCTAGATGTGTGACATCACTCTGGGGAAGTGAACTGCACTTTTAGCTATCTTTATTTCTCAAACCTGTAGTGCTGTCTCCAAAAAAAACAAAAAGAGAAGGCTTATCCCCACCTAATGGCAGAGGTAGGTAGGTGTAAATAAATGAACCCCGCACAGCTGGAGATTGCCTTAGATAAGTAACGAATTTTGCACATTCCCAAACCTTGCTGTAGAAGCAGAGTTAGTCTATTCATGTGGGTTATTGAACAACTTTTCCTGATAATACAGTACAAGATAGTTCTGTGTGACAAGGTGGTTACATATCATATCTGTAAGTTAAACAAAAGGTTTTCTGGTGTACTTTAGTCTCAACTAAACAGAGACGAGTGGTTTGAAATAAAAAAAATAACTGGAATTAATCAGAATCACTATTCTTAACATTAAGAAGGAGGAAGTGTCTGTTGCTACCCAAGACAGTTTTAATCCCCATGAATTCAGTTCCTGGAAACTGATATTGAAGAACAAGGTTGGGGGAAGAGATTTCCAAGCAATGTATACATGTACTTTTTCCCATGCATTTTTATTAATTAATCTGAGCCCGGTTAAACAGCAACTTCTAAACATTTAAAAAACACTCAAGAGCTGTAGGAAAAATAAGCTAAAATCCCTCTAATCTGACCACATTTTTTTCTTTGCAGGCAGGGTCTATCTTCTTTGGTACTGTCACACTCCCATGTCTATGGCTGAAATCTGCTCTTTCACCTGCCCCCCTTCACGTGGACTGCTGAGAGAGGACAGCAATGAAAGGTCTTGAAAGGCTGAATTAAGGCAAAAGCAGTGAAAAAACTCCCTGAGAAGTCCTGAAGACCCAGGAAAATATTCTTAGAATTGCCAGTGGAGTAATATGTGATGGACTAGCCTCCTATGGCTCTGCCAGCTATCACTGGTCCCTCAATCTGACTCCTTTCAGAACTACAGGTGCAGCACAGTTCCACACTCATAGTACTGCAGGTACTGAGACTACAGGAAAACACACACAAAAGCTTTCTTTACAGTACCCCTACAGAAGGCTTCAACTACCCTTTGCATGGGATTGTCCTTATTACATCTCTGTGAATTTTAAAAACAGGAAAAGACACAGAAAGGAGCATCTGTAATGTCAAAACGGTCACACAGCAGAATGATTTGACAAGATGGGACATGAGAGAACACAGTGTTATGATTAGAGAACAAACACCCTTAGGAGACAAAGTTGGTGCCAAAACCATCTCCTTCTATCAACTTGTTAAATATAGTCTGAGTCTTCCCCCAGCCTCAAAAACAAAAGCAAAAAATTCCTAAACCCAAGGTCAGTGTTCATGACTGATCAGAATGACTAAAACCACTATTGTTCTGAAGTCTTAACTGACCACCTTTAAAGGGAGCGACTAGACCAAAAAAGGATTGCTAACAACAGATGTGGCAAATAGCTTTAGTGGGCAGTACCTGTATTTTTACACTTTGCCTAAGATCCTACTGATCATTGTGTTAAATCCTATTCCTGACTCTTGCATTTTGCCTCTGGTATTAAGTCAATCTTTGAGAAAGAAATGTTGCAACGGTGTCATCTCTAACAGGCTGCTGAGGTAGAGTGAGAAGGAAAATACCCTGGGCCAGTGTAGTCAGGGAGCCTGAAGAACCAACTGCAGGTGAACTGGATGGTCAGACATGGGACAGACTGGAGCATCAACATACACCTTATATTTTTCAGTTCAGTGCCTGAGCAGGTACGTAACATTATAAACGTCCATTCTGGAATAAGCTGACTTTTTAATTTTCAAGCTTGTTTCTACACTCAGGATTATCAGTCCAGCCAGTGTACTTGAACATTTAGTCAGAAAATGACAAAAAGTTCTAGCTAATAAACGAGCAGATTTTAAATCATCTCATTTTTCATGGAAGCATGGCGAGTGGGCAACTTAAGCCTAAAATGTGGAACAAGACTGTGCTTATGCACAGGGTTCCATAGACAGCCAAGCTACTCAGCAAAACAGAAGCACACACTTCGACAGGAAGAGGTGGCAAATGGTGTCCAGGCTGTATCTCGGTGCCAGAGGCAGCAAGAAACTGCCGAGCCCTTTACAGACTTGGATTAAAGGCATGAGGGCACGTACACCACAAGCACAGCTACGATAGATCCTTGTGTCAGCAATGTCATCTTGCTCACAAGGCTGCAGAATCCATATGGACAATCCCTCAAAGAACTCAAACATATTAGAAAAAAAGATTTTGGTCTTACTTTAAAATTAACTGTCTGCAAAAGGAGACCAGACTAGAATCTGGGCTGCTGATCTTAATTACACTGTTGCAGGTAGCTCTTGCTGGTGGCAGTCAGACTTTTGGCTCCCACCAAGTAGAGCATCTCTGCCAGCTCCATCCAAGTTTTCTTAGCCTGAAACATTAATCATAAACAGAACTCTAACAAATATAACTATTTAAGGCAACTACAGACCCACACATTAATACTGGGGTGGAACTTCTGAAACACTCTCCTTTGCAGAAAATCAATTTACATGGCAAGACCAAAATTTTCATTTCTGCAGTAAATTTATATGGCCATGCTAGTAGTAGCTAACTGTGAAAATTAGGAAGTGTACCTTTTGGATCAAGGTACTGGGACACTGCAATTAAAGGCTAAGTCTTAACTTGTACTGGGTGGGTGGAGGGAAGGAATGAGTGACAGCAGAGGGAGAAGGAAGGTGTGCAACCTTACAGCTTTACAGAATAAGCTTCATAAAAGCGCACACTCCTATCCATGCATAAGGAAGACTGAGTGAAATCACAACAACTCAGTTTCTCAAAATAAAGCAAGTAACACTGTCACTGTGCAGTATGTGAAAGTTATATCTAATCACCTCCTTTCATCTACACATCTGAATTGAAAGTACTGTACCCTGACAGAACCAATCCCCACTCTGCCAATCTCCACAACCTATATGCTCGTCCATAGACCCAATTTTAAAAGTTAGCCACAGGAACAGTGTTAAGGCTAGGAATAAAGTAAATATAACTCAAAAAAAAAATAACAGTATAGAATTTCCTCCTTGTTTCGAAATCTCTCTTTTTGCCGCTGTTAAGAGCTCTGCGTTCTCACATCTTTTTTTCTCCCTCCATACATAAATCTAACCTAAACAGCATTACACTCTCTCAGGCAACTCCTTTGACACAACCTAGAGGTCTCTGATGACAAGTAGTGATATTCACCCGTGCTGATGACCAAACCCCTAAGAACAACAGTCAGACATGGCAGAAATTATTCTCTCTCAGCAGTGTTACTGCCACTGCTGATCTGTTCCCTCCTCGTGCCATTCCCTTTGTGCTGCCCTGCTGAGCAGAACTAACATGAGCATCATGGCCCTGTGCTACTGCAAGAGTTCACTTGTGCTGAAGAACTCCTGAAACTGGCTAGACTGGCTTTTGGATAAATAGATAAAAGGGGAGTGGCACAAGGTGTCCCAGCAATCTATGTGCAACCCAAAAACCCACAGCCATTATCTTAACCGCGCTTCGGTCAGTTAGGTAGAAAAACGTCATAAAAAGTTCTTTCACTCCATCATTCTGGCAAAAATAATTACTAGGTTTGTTCCAGCTATGAAGGATATCATATGTGTAAACAGGGAGAGTGACCTTCGCAGTGTGGTACAGAGCAGAAGATTTCCCCTCCCCTAGAAGAGCACTCTGGGTAAAGCAATTGTCACTTTACTGCCCTTTAAGCTTCTCTGCAACAAGAACAAAACCAACACAAAAGCATACACCTTATAAAGAGGCCTAAGTCATAAATCTGGGTGACCAGAATGCTTTGTCAGTTTTAAGAAGGGTGTCCGATTTCAAACGCTAACGCAGTTTCCTCTCCTTTGCTTTCTAACCGTTTGGAAAGCGGATAGAAAGGAAGGGCAGTTCTCACAATGGCTCTCCCTCAGAAAAGATACCAAGAGCACCAGAAGATAAAACCACGGAGAGTAAAGTTTTTACCATCAAGACCCATTACTGTGCCAATTTCCCAGCTACAGAATATTCCCTTATTTCTTAGTTTTACTGATGTCTGTTTCCTGCTGTCTATAGCCAGTTCCATAGCATGGATCTGCCTGGAGAACAAGAGGGAGGGAGGGGGCAATCAGGGTGTAGCCAGTTGTCATTAGTGGCTTGCTTTGAGGGAATTTGCCACATGCCCCCGCTAGAAATATTCCTGCTACCTTCCCAAGCTTTTAACACCAAGCAGTTATGATTTCTTCACAGTTAACTACTGAATTACTTGTAATCAATTTAGACTGGAATGAAACATTTTATTCCACTTGAAAGAATTTCCATTGTCACAGTCAAAGGTATGAAATGAAAATACGGTAACTTATTAGGTTTCATGTCTTTCTGAGCACATCATTCACAATTAACATTTCACATTTTGATATGATTGTCTCAGAGAAATCCACCTTTTTTTAAACTGCATTTTTAAAGCATGCTAGAGAAAATTCATGACTCCTAAACCAGAATGAAATAATCTGTAAAAGGTGATAAACTGCCCAACTAGGTATAACTTATGGTAATTCATCTGTGCACTACTGAACACATCTTAATGTTCTGACACAGCTTGTTTATTCACAGTGTTTCCAATGGAATCGTAGATTGCATAAAAGCTTTTCCAGGAAGAACCATAAGAGTTCCAGTTAAAGGATCCAGATTCCTGCTATGTGACTCAATGACAAATACACTAAACCAGGTGGTGAAAGACAATTGTACCACAACAGACAGTCAACAGCTCGCTCTGGAGTCCCACTGAGTTCTGAGCACTGATGGTCACTGCACATGCTCAATTACTACAGTTCCAAATTATTTTTTTAAGGGTTGAAGAACTACAGACGACTTCAAGCATCAAGTCCATTCCTGCACTACCTTTCACTTACTATATCATGATCATAACACACAAACCGTGCCCAAAATCTACTATCACTAGAATTCAAGCTTTGTTTAAGCTTAACCTCAGAAATTTGTTCCTAATAATCGATGCCTGGTTTTCAGTAGCTAATTTCTACAAATGTATGGTGAGATTCTTTAAACTACCTTAACAAAAACAAGAAAGCAAACCCAAATAACTTTCTGTCAACTACACAAAGCACACTTAGCATACAATTCTACTAGCCAGTTCACACTTCCTTATATGAGGACTGTCAAAATTCTTTTTCCAAGTAATCAAAGTTTTTTATTCAAAACTTTACTCAAGCACACGAAGTTACTTAACAGGTTTACAACTTTTAACTTCACGTGCTGCTCAAAGTTTTCAGAATTTTGAAATTCTGAACTGTAAAACAACCAGCAATGCTTGACAATTTCAGATAAATTTACATTAAACACATTCTTTTAGCATGAAAAACTGGTTCCTTGAACCTCCAAACCCAATCCCACACATGTAAACCCAATTTTTTCTTCCAGCTTGGCATGCAATGTTTCTGGTGATACTGCACACAGGAAGATCAAAGAGACAATTGAGCAGTGGTTTGGAGATATGAGTGCTTGAATTCATCTTACTAGACCCAAACAATATTCAAATTCTAATACACCCATATTCTTTATTCTCAGAAGAATAAAAAAATGCAATAATTAGAAACATAAAAAAATTAAAAATAAAATGGTTGTGTGTTAAGACAAGGGTGAAAGTTTGACAGTCATCAATTCTGACCGAGAAATCAAAAAACTTTCCTTAAAACAGAAAACGCATTAAATTTTCATGTATCTAAAATTAAGCTATCAGAACAATTTTTCCTAGCAAACTTGGGGATACTGCTAAAGGATATGTCCCCCTAAGTTGCTTGTTCTACCATCATATACTTCTCACTGAAGTGAATTACATTTTATCTGCTGCACAGAAATAGATTAACAGAAAAGGGACTGTACACACAGACCTCAATCTTTCCATCATCTGCTACGAATTCTAGCTCTGGAAATTCCTAGAACATTCCACTATGAATATAAAAAAAAAAAAGTGATAATTTTAAAATACTGCCAGCAGCCACCATTTTCTCTATAGAAAACTAACTAAAACATTTTACAATATTCAGAAATATGCCGACAGATCTTATAGAAGTAGTCTGGTCATTTCAAGAAGCCCAAATCCTGGTAACCATTTCAAGTATTCAAACCAATCTGGAGAAAAAGTATTCAGTATCTACATGGAGAACAGTCTGTGAGAAACTATTTCCACTTCCTAACAAAAGACAGCTATTCAGTACCTCAGTGTTTAACAGAACCAAGAGTTTCACCATGTTTTAAAATAACATATAATAAGTAGAAATATGGAATGTTTTAGAATTAGAACACTACAGACACTCAGGAGTATCACTTAAACATTTGCTTTCACAAAAAAAGTGTATGAACTTTTCAGCAGGCTTTAGAGAAAAATACATTAACTTTGATGAACAACAGTAAAACAAGAAAGAGCCGTATCATTAGCTAGAACCACTCATCACTTTAGATAGAACCCTGTTTTCAGTTGTTTATGATCTGCTTTTAAACATTTTCAGACTGGATAGCCTGAAGCACAGAGCAAGACCTGCAAAATTATTTTACTAGCCTTCAAAATTCATTGTTCAATGGCTATACTGAAAAAAACTGTGGGATGAGGCTGTGCTGTCATTCCTCTGGCACAAACACACTACAGAGTAACAGGAAAAAACTTGTAGAAAAGCAGCAAGATCAAAAAGGTGAAACAGGAATAGATGCTGTTTCACTGAACACCAAGATCCATGAAGCCAGACCAGAACTTGTATCAACAGTCCCTGCCATCTAGTAACTACTAGGAAAAAGGCACACTTCTGTACTAGGTGACCTAGGAAGTAAAAATACCACCTGCTATAAGTGCCAGAACTGTGCACCAGAGCTCTGAAGAACAGCCAGCTGCTAAAAAATGAAAATTAGTGTGGCTTTACACGTACATTTTGCTTTCAACATGGGTAAAACTCGTAGCAGCAGCTAGAGAAAGCTATGGCTCAGATATGTAGAGACACAGCACCAACGCTGCCCCTGCACAGAGCAGAGCAGAAGGGGAACGAGCCAGCGCTGCAAAGGCAACCCCTGCGTGGCACTTCCAGGGGCCGGAGCGACCTCGCGGTTGCCCTCTGGTGGCCACGGGTGGCCCCGAGCACCCGGTACCAGAGCCAGGGCCCTGCAGAGGACACTTTTCGGTACCCCCAGAACAAGTTACTCCACCTCCATTTGACAGTCAGTCACCTTCTCACTCAGGTCAAGGAATTGATATGTAAACGAAGGACAATACTGACTTAGTAGAGGAAAATCCAAGCAGTACAGTTACCAATTGTGACTGCAATTATCAGTGGCACTTCAAAGTGCACAACCCGTGACTGTGAAGAAGTTGTTAAAGACCTCGAGCTTAAGAAGCAGGTAAAAAAAACCAGTAAGTGACTTTACAAACTAAATACTGTAGTCTAGCTTTTTAGTACTGAATAACCTGAATGTAGCATTTCACTTACTGGATCCTTCAGTGCTCAGGATTTTAAGGCTACTCACATCAAAAAAATGTTCTGTCATGTAAAATCAAAGACTTGATAGGGTTAGAAGGGACTTCTGGAGATCATCTAGTCTAACCCCTGTGCCAAGGAAGGCTCACCCAGAGTGATGCAGTCTATCCATGTATTTAGGTCCTGTCTTACCCAACAGAACTAAAGATCAGAAGTCACTGAAGAAGTGACTGCTGAATATAAACCCCACTTCCTTTAGTTCAGAAGAGAGCAGCTGATGCTAAGTCCCTTGTTTTAGAAGATAATTAAATGGAACAATAAGCCATACTAAATCTACCATTCTGCCTAACAGTTTCATAATTAAACCTGTGAAAAGAAAACCATTTTAGTTTAAAGTTCCTTTCTTCCTACTTACCTAGCAAATTCAGCCAGTTGCTTGGGGTCCGAGAGGTCAATGCCAGGTATTCCACCAGGAGGAAGTTTCTTCCCTGTCATGTACTCTGAGTAATCTGGAGGAGAATTCTCTCCAATGATCTGCTCTTCCACTACTGTTTCATGGTCAATATCTTTCTTATCATCTGAAATACACAAAATATTGAATTCAGTACCTACTAAAGATCAAAACAGCATATAAGTTATTAGGCTGCATCTCAATATAAATTCACTAATGCTGCACATTTAAAAGAATACACTGCACTTCCAGATCTCCATCGTAATTGTGAAGAACAAAAAGACAGTTACAGCATGGAGAACACAGGAAGAATACAGTGGGTGAGGAGAAGAAGCAAAAGTTGCATATCTACTTATATACAAATACAGAAATAAGTAGAACAATCTTATAAATATTGGCTGCATTTGAAAGACAATGTACTTTTCCTGAAACAATGCCTAAATATTCAGTTCCCCTAACTCTTCAAGACTAACCTTCACCATACCCTCTCTGATACTCAACAGCAGTCCGTAACTCTGGAATTCTATCAGAGGAGTGGCAGACACTTACCCTATGATGTCAAGACTACTGATCTTTACTTCAAGTCTTCAGACCCCTTGACCTCCAACAGAAGTGTCACAGAGGGACAAGAAATTTAAAAATAACTGCTAATGTGCTTCAGCACTTGCCTGTAAAATTAAGGTTTTTAAACACTTGCAGACTGGTCTGAAAGAAAATAAAAACTTAATCCTGTGTCTCCCTCCCAAGGGGGCTTCCTTCTGTGGCAAAGGCCAGCCTAAGGTCCTTCCCACTCTACTATGCAAACAGCAGGCTGGAATTATTCAGAGCTTTGATCTACAAGCCAGTTAAGATACTGCTATTTTCTCTGCTCTAGAGCTCCTCCTACGAATTTGTGCTCAAGGACTGCAGTGAAATCATGTGTAAGACCTGCTGTTGCTGTCTACTCACATTTAGACCTTAGAACATACAAGACACAATCTTTTCTCTCTCCTATTTCTTTTGTAACAGAAATCGAAATACACAAAAATTATAGAGAATAGAAACATCCACCTATGTTCCTCACTGCCACACCAGGAGAAAGACATACACAGCACCTATCCTGTTTTCCACCCTCAAATACACCTAATGCAAGAGATGTATATATGGTTGTAACTGCTCAGCTCAATGTAATAAACTTGACAGTACATTACTTCTCCTACTATGTGTATGGGGGGCAGATTCTGGAAATTATTTTATACACAAGAGTCTTTACAAAAATAACAGGAAGTTTTATTTTACGGGTAGTGTTTAAGCAATGAAAACACAAGGTGGTGGGACAGAAATAGTATCTCACCAATTAATAAGAGATAGGAAAACATAAGGCAGAAAACAAAAGAGGAAAGGTTTTGGGTTCCTTTCCCCTAAACAGAAACACAGGAAATAACATTAGTCATTACTTAGTAACTCAGGCTAGGAGAGAGAGGACAAGATATATGCAAATAAAGGACATATACTAAGCACAAATTTGTATTCAATTTGTAATGCCTGCTTTCAAGGTTTGCCACCGAGCTATTTCTAGAAATGTTACTGCTAGTTTGGGGTTTAATCTGATCTACCAGATCAAATAGCAGTTCATGTATATTCCATGGTGAAAGAGGAAAACAGACTCCAACGCTGCAAAGACAGAAGTGTAAATAAGAAAATACTCTCTGCAGCATTAAATCCAAAATAAACCTCAAAATCCACTATTTGAACCTTTTTTGTTCTCATCTAGTTTTCTCACCACACAATGTTTCAGCCTCTTCCAGTGCTTTAAAGAAAGCAACTGAATTTACTTTAAGCGAGGATTATATGTTAAATTTTACAGCACCTGAAGGAGTTACAAATTCAAGTCAAAAAACCTTCAATTTGGCAACATTTTTTTCTTCTAAACAGAAATTTGAAAAAAGATTATTAGCAATGCCTACACAGGCAGAAAAGACATGGAGCCCAGAAGGGCACAGAATTTCTGTAAAGCTAAAAGCAATGCCTTCTCCATGCTGTAGACTAGAATGAGATCAGCTGCCTTCAATGTAACCATTTCAACAGCTACCTAGAACTTGCAGTTTGACTGTTTGATGACATTCATAACATAGACAAGTTTTCATTTCCTGCCTTAGATCAGATGCACAAGTCAACAGGGAAATTTTGTATACATTCCTAAAGATCTTCTTTCCTTCCCTACTGTAAAGGCTCACTATTCCACAGTGCTTTCTTGCTATTTGAGGACCAAACTGAAAGTCAGCCTTCAGTGTCTTTACTTCCCAAAAGCCTGCCAATAGAAATCAGTTCTACAGCTATTTAATTCCACAGACTACTGGAGCAAAACACAAAAAACTATGAACATATTGATTTGACAGAGTAGAAAATAAGAGAAACTATTGTTTAGTACATTGAGTTACGTGAAAATAAAAAACAAGCACATTTTTCCATACCAAAAAACTGCATCTCTACAGCAGCACACACCTCCACTTCTAAAAGTGAATTTAAACCAAAGCAATAAAATACAAAACAGTTACCTCCAAGTCTTATGTCAGGCTAATACTTCTGAAAAAGTAGCAACAGATTTCAATAGCTCTTTAGTATCCAGACCATCCTAGTTACAGACCATCCTATGACATTATCAACTCACTAGGAAAACAAAACAAAAACAACACACAAAAACCCCCCTTGGAGGAAGTTTGGAAATGGAAAAACTTTACTAATGTCCTCTGTGCATAAATTTAGTTTATTTGTGATGCCCTACCAACCTGGACTAGGCAGCTCAAAGTCTGGAGGGGTAAAGTGCAAGCAAACTTTCACTCAGGTTGACAAGTTAACCAATAATTCTCACTGCAAACTGGGTAAGTTGATTGATGTTTTTTGCCTTCAAGCAAATCCTGATGCCCACTACAGGCAAATTACTTCCCGCTTTTCCTCTCATGAAGCACTGGAGAATCAAACATATTGCATCCAAAGCAAGGCAAAACACAGACACAACCCTGAAATTACAGTGACACCTCTGGATAAGTGCAGTACAAATAAGGCACGGTAACTCCATGCAGTTTATGCCCAAGCCAACCTAATGTGGATGCCACCCATGCAAGCTAAATATGGACAGAGCCATGGAGCCAGTCAGGAAAAGGAAATTAACTGCTATGTACTATCTGATCCACTGTTTTGTCCCTTAAAACCACTTAAGAGTAGAGCAAACTCAAACATAAGGCATTCTGCTTAAGTGTGTATCTAGCACTATTCTTACAGATCTAATGCAACTTTCTGTTATGAACTTGGAACACAATTTTAGTCCCCCTCTTCTGAAAGACAGAGAGGATCTGAACACATCAACTAGCTAATCACCATCTTCACAGAAACATTCACTACCAGTCACTGCAACAGCTACGTCCAATGTTCATCTATCTCATAAAGCTGTTTTAATACTGTTTTTAATACTGGTTTGTTAGAGACACCACAGATATTCCCCTACATCCTTTTATGCCAAATTACATTAAGATAGGTGTATAGTTAAACCAGGTTTTTCTATGCCCCTTTTTAGAGCACATACCCAAACATTTCATGTTGTGTCCTCCCACCTGCACTGCTATCATGCCCTATATACAGGCAGCACACATGTCGAACTGGATCCACTTAGGCCCTTCAAAGCAACTACTTCAAACATTTTTTTACTAAGATCAGTGAAAGTTCCCTGTTTTAGCAAGCCATGTCTTTTGACTACTGGTGAAATAGTCAGAGGTTTTAAGAGAACTAAAAGTACCAACTGAAGTAGGAAGAAGCAAGATTACTGGGATAAAACTAGTAACTGCAGATTCAATGACAAAACATGGTAGAATCTGTTTCTCAAGACTTTATTGATCATGCTTTGCCTCTTATTACCATGCTTTCTCCATCTCTTGCAGCTTTTCTGTTGCACAGAAAATCCATGCACCTCAGAACCCCACTATTTCATGCATTTCTAGACTAACAGCTAGCTCCAGCTGACAGCTCTGGAACTCCCCGGTTTTCTAAGATGACACTCTTAACTCTCAACCCAAGGAGCCCTGTCAATATTTTTGCCTCAGTTATTCTTGATTTTAGCCATCGTACTCCACTTTGAGATCCCCAAATCCTGAACCATCCTTCTCCTCCTCTATTACCAAGCAGAGAGAAAGCACTAGTATTCAATTGGTTTTCCACTGTGGAAAACAGGGTGCCAAAGGGAACTCAGGAGGTACACCTGGCAGCAAAGCAATGAGACCTGATCCTATAGCTTCCTCCTCAAGGTACCAAGTTAAAAGACATTCTACTTACCAGCTAAAAGGATGAACAACATTTAAGCTTAAATTTTCTTTTTATGATCACACAGTTAAACACACTGGCTTTTAGGAACAGCTGAGAAGCAATTACATGATAAAGGATGTATTCAGCAACTGAGCAGTACCAATGCACTGTCATAACAGCTTGGTTATTGCTACCACACTGCAATCTCCCCAGGCAAATTAGTTCATTGGTCATGTTTGGAGGCAAAGAACTGTAATTAGCTTGTTAAATAATACAGTTATTTAGCAGACACTTCTGAATGTTAAAATTCTATTTTGCACAGTATGTCATTTTTTAACCTAATCGGCTGCCAGGTTACTTTCCCTCTGACGTGCCTTGCATACAGATGGAAACAGGTTCTTCTTTCCCCCTGTCACCCATCTCTTATTTCACACCACTGAGACATGAACTGACAAAAACAGTGCATATATCAATAGTCATCATCTGACTTCAGCATTTATGAGACACTGTGCCGAAGCACTATGACCTGAATGGTCAGCATATGAGCAACTCAAGCATCCCAGGGAACGATCCAGCAGCAAGCTAGAGGATTCTAGTTTGAAAGGTGGGCTAAGAGGCAAATTAATTGAGTTATTTTAGATGGTGAAACACATGTATGTATTTCACTTTCAAAACTGAAAATACATTTAAAATAGACACAGGAAAAGGTCCATCTTATCACTGGAAAAAACATCAGGGCAGACTCAATACTTACAGATACCAGAACCCTGTATCATAGTCTTAATCAGAGTGAGAAACAGATCGTCATCTTAATATTTTAAAGGAATCAATCACTTTCTGCCTCCATTATGAAAAACTTTCATATAAGAATCTCATTACCTATCTGTCATCGTAAAGTATTTTGGCCATCCTTGACACAGGTCCACAACTGAACAAAATGATTCATCTATCATTTATACTATATAAGACAACTGGTCAGACAGCAGATGGCTATTTTTCTCACCCCTGCCATCTGATGAAGTAAAATGAAAACCCTCCTATATTTTTTGAGACATTTGAGTTTTTCTAAGAGGTTTTGAAAAACTTTCTAGAAATCCAACATGAATGCCCCAAGCTTCCAAATGTGAGTCCACAGCACAGGCTTCCTGGATGATCAAAAATAATTTTCAAACCCTGCACGTAACTTCTGCATCTTTGTCTTTCCTATCTAGGATACTTGAGCAGTTTAACATCTGTGGACAATGTTTGGTTGTGCTATTTCAGTCTTAATTTGCAGACTATGCTAACAATAATAGTTTAAGTCAACACCTATTTCAGGTTTGAAAGCTTGACAGTCATTACCTAGAAGCAGATGTAGTTACACTAATACTTTTTCCCCACTCAAAATTAAGCCCCAACTGCTTGAAATTTCAGTATTTGGTGCAGCCAGCATTTAAGCACCACCTTCCAAATGCTCCTGCATGTAAGAATCAGTTTTCCAAGCACCAATGATTGTGACAAAATGATTTCTCACAATCCTTCCTCACCCCCATTGCTATTGTGCACCCAACCTGGAGAAAGTCACTAGAGACAATGATTCAAGTTGAATCCAGCAAAAGCACTAATAAATTCCACTTGATAAAAACAATTTTTCTAGTACAAATTGGGATGTCTCTCTTGGAGAGCACCATTAAGTTTAAACAGTTTTCTGACAAATATTAGGACAGTATAAACACACTACAGGAACATGATTGAAGTATCCACCAGATAGACCTCTTCAACCCTTTCAGAAATATAGCACCTTTGTTCACTTCTTATTTTCACACATGAAGAAAAACAAATAATTCTATTCTGAAGATCTGAAAAGCTGATCTGAACTAGAACAAAGCATTCCTGTTTCAAACTAAACACTTTAATTGTAGGTCACAAGTTTGATATCACTATAGATACCAAGGTGATAAGAGAAGTTATGGTAAGTTTAAATCGTTGCCAACAACAGTACTGCAACTTCTAAATAACCACATAACAAGACGAGGACTAAGTAGTCCCCTTTAGTCACATTGCTATATATTTCACAGATTATTTCTACACATTTCAAAAGGTGTTACAAGACATGTTATACTCAATTTCTGGACAAAGATTTATGATTGGTTAAATTTGGTACCACCCATGTACAAGCTAATATAGTAGCACCAGCAAACAGTAACAAGGAATTAATTCACATTGTCTTCCCACACTGTGGTGAGCAAAGTGCCCTTGGTTCCTGATTCAAAAACCCATGCACAGCAATATAGGGCTCATTGTTGTATCTTAATGCGTGGCCTTATTTACTGTTCGTCTCTTGATGAACTTCTTGCTAAGCATTTAAACCAGTCCATTACATCAGTGTGCAAGCAAGTCTTTAATTATGTTAAAAATATAGATGCAAAACTGCTATCTGTCTTCAAAATAAAGTATGCCTGATTCTGCAGGGAAACTTTAGCACTACTACCTTTTTGCAAGTCAGTAGTTTTGGTTTGTGTATTTTTTTTTTGCATTAATTTACTCTGGGGGGTTTTTGTGGGTACTTGGGGTTTTTTGGGGTTTGCGTGTGTGTATCCCCCTATCCCAAGTACTGTTTCTTTTGCAATTTTTCTGGAAATTTTTCTGGATATTTTTTCTGGATTTGCCCTCTGAAACTTCAGGGGAAAAAAAAGATAAAGTCACAGCATTTAACCACTTCGGGCCACTTCTGTAACATTAAATAAGTCACATATGAGGTGTAAGAACCTGTCCAATACGTTCGGTAAAATGTCACAAGATCTCAACTGAACAGGCTGTTTGAAGCTGGAGGTGTGTGCATGCACTCACACGAGGAGAGGAGGTCAAACTCTAAGACTGTGCTTTCGCCCATACATTTGATTTTGCTTTTGGAGGGGTTTTTTTGGCATTAGAAGTGAAATCAGACTAGTATTCATTCTGCTGCACCATGGATATAATTGAGTTGAATATAGCAACGCAATTCAATCTCCAGTAAATTATAAGTGGATATCATTCCCACTGAGCTTGCATGGTCATGCTCATAAAGAACAAAACCACCGAGATCAATAGGGCTATCCCTGATGTAAAAGCTGTGTACATGGGAAGAGAAGCAAGTTTATTGATTATACACATGCTTCACTTCAGCCAAGTAATAATCAGCATGCAGAAGGTCTAAGGAAGCATCCTATCAGGCACTCTGAATTTCCGAGTGCAAATGCATGCTAGAAATTGTCAATTGATCTCAGCGAGGTCCTGTATCCTGCCACTTCATGAGTCATACAGCCACTTGCATTCAGCTACCTCAGGCAGCAGCCACAAGTCAGAAAACTATAATAATTTCTATTATCTTTTATGTTTCTTGGATGGTGAGTTCTAAGAAAAATACCAGCAAGGGAATTTAGTCAGTTTTCACACAGTGACACAGAAGCATACAAAACACCATCCAACTAAACATTAGTTGCAAAACTCTTGCATGTTCTTTTCTGTTCATCAGGAAGCAAAGAACTTTGATTAAACTGACCGGCCTACCAACTGACTACACGTCAATAGTGTCAGATACTCTGTCAAACTTGCTAAAGTAATCACCTGTATTTAAAAAGAGAGTAAAAATCTGAACCACCATGCTTGCCACCTTTTCAGGCAGGAGAATTCAGTCATCCAATACATTTTCTCTTCTACACTTGCCTTTCTAACAACAACTGGTCATTTGCAAACATCACAGAGTGCAAACATTTTAGACATCACTACACACTTTTAAAAATGCAAAAGAGCACAGAATTTACAATATGCAAGACAGATTACCAAACTACTATTCAAAGAGCACGCACCAATTTAAACGTTACATGAACTCATACTATTTGACCGCTTTTTTTCCACATTTACATAATTTAAGGACAGAACTGTTGATGACAGAACCTTACTGCCAGCAATATATTTTAGTAAAAAGAAAAAATAAAATAAAATAAAGTGGGCAGGGCAGGTACCAAGTCAGGTTCACTCCAAGTCCCACAGACACTAAACCCCTTCAACAAGATTTTATTCCCTTTAAAGGACACTCCCACAAAAAAAAAAAAAAAAAAAGGAAAAAAGGAAAAAACCCTTCTCAAAAAAACCCTTCTCAAAAAAAACACAATCTCACACGACACGGACTCTCTGCGCCTATTTAAAGATTCAGACCTAGGCGAGGGAAAAGCTGGACGGTTTGCGAGCGCCAAGCAGCAATTGCCCCTTTCCTGCCCGCGGCTCGCAGGGACGGAGGTCAGCCCCAGGGCCGCCCCTCCGGCTGTCACACCCGGCTCCCCTCGGGCTCCGCAGGGACGGTGGTTCGCGGCCGCCCCCTCCGAGCCGGCGGGAG